GGACTTGCAGAATTAGCATAAGGAAGTCCTTCACAGTTAGTCATGCCCTCCCTCTAGATTCCTGGAAGGGCACAGGCACTGGTCAAGTCATGTAGTAAAAAACAATCCCCCACCACACTTTGAGCAAATCCTCTGATTTCAAACCTGGATGGCAATAAAACGCATGTGAGCTACAAAGGGTGAGTGAGCATGTGTCTACCTATGCAACCAGGGACTGACAACAGAGTGAGAATAGGTACTCAGGACAAAGCATAAAGAGATGCAGCAAAGACCAGAGTGGGATTCAGGGTCGCCTGAGCCTGCATCCTAACCAGCTGTGTGCATATGAACCCGTTTCCTAAATGCCATGCCTCAATTTCTTCATTTGCAAAATTAAATATTTTGTAGACTAAGTCCTTGTTAGTATGAACAACTCTCTTTGGTCTCTGTTACATAATTTTTTTTCTTACCAAATATCACTACCTTCCTTGAAGGAGTTGGAAAAACTTCCATGTAAACTCGTTCTTCATATACCTGATTTGTAAGTTGTACAATGTAGAGATAATGATGCTGAGATAATTATGCACCTGTCTCGGCACAAGACATTTCATACCTCTTCCAAGGAGAAGAAGCTTTCAGAATAATGCAGTGCAAGGGGTGAAGTAGCCTAGGCAGTGCTGGAGAGCTCACCCTGGTGGTGAGGACAGGAAAGGTGACTAGCAGACTAATGGTCTAGGAGGTTCTTCTGTCCATGTGTTGCTTTCATTGGTTGATGAATAAAGAAACTGCCTTGGCCTAGTTGAAAGGGCAGAATTTAGGGAGGCGGGGAAGACAGAACTGAATGCTGGGAGGAAGAAAGGCAGAGTAGGAGACAGACGCTATAAAGCCGCCACCAGAGTAAGACATGTTGAATCTTTGTCGGTAAGCCACTCCCATGTGGTGATAATACAGATTAATCAAAACGGGCTAAATCAAGATGTGAGAGTTAGCCAATAAGAAGCTAAAGCTACAGGGAAACTTGATTGCTCTTTGGGCTAACGAGGGAGGGGGACTTGATTGGGGGAGGGAGGGAAATGGGAGGCGGTGGTGGGGAAGAGTCAGAAATCTTTAATAAATAAATAAATAAATAAATAAATAAATAAAATGGCTCATCCATTTTCAAAAAAAAAAAAGAAGCTAAAGCTAATGGGTCAAGTAGTGATTTAATTAATACAGTTTCTGTGTGGTTATTTTGAGGTTAAGCTAGCCGGGCAGATGAATAAGCAGCTGCCTTCCCTTGCAACAGACTAACCCTGCAACTACCAAGAGCCAGAACCAAGGCTAAGAGGTGGCCCACCCCAATATCCACCCCATCGATGATCTGCAGGCCACCTTTAATCCTAACACTTGGGAGGCAGAGGAAGGTGGATCTCTGTGAGTTCAAGGCCAGCCTGATCTACAATGTGAGTTTTAGGACAGCTAGGGCCATTACACAGAAAAACCAAGTCTTAGGGAACAAAAGGAAGGAAGGAAGGAAGAGAGGAAGGGAATGAGGGAGGGAGGAAGGGAGAGAAGAAAGGAGGAAGGAAGGAAAAAAGAAAGACAAAAAAGAAAAAAGTCAATGAGGTGATTCCCAATGATATTTTACTTACTATAATCAAAGATGGGTGACTTGGCCAATAGCCATCAGAGAGGCTTCCAGGCTTCCTCTGACAGCTGATCAGAGCAGATGCAGAGACTCACACCCAACCATTAGGCAAGAGCTCAGGGGGAACACCTTAGAAGAATGGGAGGAAGAATTGTAGAAGCCACAGGGGTCAAGGACACAAGATCATGGCTGACAAAATCAACTAAGCAAGGCTCATAGAAGCTCACCAAGACTGAAGTAGCAATCACCAAGCCTAAACGGGTCTTTGCTAGATCCTTTGCATACATGTTGTAGTTGTTTAGCTTGGAATTTTTGTGGGTCTCTTAGCTGTAGGAGTAGGGGTATCTCTTGACTCTTTTGCCTGTTCTTCGGACCCTTTTCCTCCTACTTGGAGGCTTGATATAAGGGTTTGTGTTTAGTCTTATTGAATCTAATTATATACTGTATTTGGTTGGTATCACTGGAAGGCCTGCTCTTATCTAGATGGAAGTGGAGGAAGAGTGTATCTGGGGGTCCAGGAAAGAGGGGACGGGGGTGCTGGAAAGAGTAGAAGAAGAGAAACTGAGGCAGGGAACTGGGAGGGGAGGCTGGAGTCAGTATGTATTGTATGAGAGAAGAATATAAAATAAATAAACAAACAAACAAACTTGAGTGCAAATCCTTACCGTTCTATTAAAATAGTCTTGGTATTTACCACAAATAATAACTATGTTACTATTACCAAAGCACTAAGTTAGCAAAGCACTAAGGCTTCATACTCACAAGTATTATTATGATTTAGAGTTAACTACTCTTACTACAGTAAAGCAAATCCAGTTACCTTTCTCCAGAACTCTAGAAAAATTATACATTTTTCTGAACTTGTAGGCTCGGCAGACAGATATATTTTTGAAAAGGTTAAGCTATGTTTAGCAAGGTAATCCTCAACAGACGGATGCTAGAGAATTAAATATTCAGTACTTGAATTAACTTCTTACTTGGCACTTAAAAACAAATTGGCAAGAATTATCTTTATCAAACAGAGCATTTGCTTACTCCCTTGGAAAAAGAAAAACTTAGAGATGGAAAGAAAGCAGCATTGTTCCAGCAGTTTGCTGACTAATATGAGCTGGAAGGACCCAAAACGATGGTTGGCCCCTAGAGTGTTAAAGGGAAAGCCTTGAAACTAGAGAATTTTTTTTTCAAGGATTCATTCAGGGATTGGACATTGGTGGCAACAAATCTGCATGTATGCATCAGGCCTGGGTTCAATCTTCAGTACCAAAGAAAAAGAAGGGAGTAGAATCCTAAAATGACTAGACCACACACACTCTGTATTTTGTATCTCCTTCTTCCCTCCCCCACACCCCCCACTTTAGGCTGCTATTTTTTTTTATCAGATGCACAAAAACAGTTTCCAAATTTCCAAACCCCATTGTGGTAGTTTGGATAGGAATGGCCCCCACAGACTCATGTTTTTGAATGTTTAGTTCATAGAGAGTGCCACTTTTAGGAGGTGTGGTCTTTTTGGAGTAGGTGTGGCTTGTTGGAGGAAGTGTATCACTAGGGGGTGGTCTTTGAGGTCTACAAATCTCAAGGTATGCTCAGTGTGATACACAGTCACTTCTGTTGCCTGAGGATAAAGATGCAGAACTCTAAGTTACCTCTCAAGTTCTGTGTTTGCCTACATGCCGCCATATTTCCTGTCATTACAATAATGGGCTCTTTAGTCCAATCTATCTATCTATCTATCTATCTATCTATCTATCTATCTATAAACTGTAAGTCATCCCCAATTAAATGTTTTCCTTTATAGAGTTGCTATGGTCATGGTGTTTCTTTACAGCAATAGAAACCCTAAGACACCCAAAAATTCATTTCAAAAAATTACCCCTGACTTGATAAAACTAAACTTGATAAAACATGTATATTGTGATGGGCACATGAGTACTGAAAATACATTGCTTCAATTAAAAATTAAGTATGATAATGGCTTGAATTCCTTCTTCCGTTTGGTTGCTGAACGCTAAGAAAATGGGCCAGGTAGTGGTGGTGCTTGCCTTTAATCCCAGCAGAGGCAGGCAGATCTCTGACTTCAGGCCATCATGATCTACAAAGCAAGTTTCAGGTTAGCTAAGGCTGTTACACAGAGAAACCCTGTCTCCTCACCGAAAAAAAAAAGAATGAGTTTTAAACTGTAAAAGAATATATACAGTGCTCCAATTTATACTCAAAGCCAATCAGGGCAAAGGGGTTCAGAATATACTATGAAGAGTAGTAAGCCTTAGTAATGCAGAAATACAGTCAGAAGTGATCTTTAGAAATCTTATTCTTGAATATCTTGAATAAACTCTAATTTTAAAAAGGGTCCCATTTAATTTAATATTAATTATTAGGCAGGTAATGGACTTTTTTCTGAGTCCTCCCAATCTTCTGAAAGGTTGAGACTAGAGCACCTGACAATGGTGGACAGGAGACTCTGACTCCATGGAAGTGAAAGCTCACATTTTGGGTATGAGGAGAACAGGGCGATAAAAGACTTTTCTTTATATGCATGAGAATAGGAAGGAAAACATACAATACTAAAGTAGATATCAATATATCTGGGGTCTAGGATGTTAACATTTAATTGGGGGCTGACTAGAACAAATAGGTCAAGTATGATGGCAGAACTGGGTTAGACATTCCTGGATTCCATTCAGTACTCAGAGATAACTTCAGTAAATTTCTTCATGACTAAAATGGAAATTGTGACTTCTCCCTTAACAGTTGAAAATTCAAATAGAAAACATGCAAAAACAGGCAACACCAAGTTTGGAATATTTTTGCTACTAAGCAAATAGTATCTCTTTCCCTTCCTCTCCTCTTCTGAGAATGTTGCAGATCATGTACCAGTCACAGAACAATCTGTGGATTCCAATGGAAGGGAAACACAAAGAGACCTGGAATGAACTCCAAAACCATAGTCCTGTATACTATCCATGATCAAAATATGACAGTGGACTCCAGTTCAAGCATATGCTTGTGTTCTCATCCCCAAACTGTGATTCTTTTAGCTGCATAAAATGAGATGAAGGGCTTAACTTTCATGTGCCTCCGTTTCCACATCTGTATCCCAGGGTGGTCATAAAGTAAAGAAAACAATTAATGAAACAAAGAAAGACAGACAGACGCTTGTGGAACTAGGTTCATCAATCAAATTGATAAATTACTGCTAAGGGTGAGTGATGTGGCTCTTGGTGTTCTTGAGCTGAAAACTTAATTTCCAATAAAACCATTGAAGGTAGGACCTATAAGGCTACATTGTGATGGCTCTGCCATCAATGGATTAATTAGAAGGCTTTCTCTCTTGCATTCTCTCCCTCTCTCTAAATATTCTTGACAGATTAAAACAAAATAACCAGAAAATGCTTACCTATCTCGCTGTTCATCTAAGCAGCAATCACCTAAGAGTGACGTTCCCAATAGCCTAAGCATGGCCTTGTGACCTGTTCTGTTGGGGGTGTGGTACGCTCGAGAAGCCAGGTGCAGATCCACAGGCAGCTCCGCAGCTGGGACTGTGGTGCACAGGTCATGAAGATGAGGAAGGGGATGAGCCTGTGGGATTCTGTAAGAGGAAAGAAAGTGAGCTTCTTTCATCATTTTATGGGTGTTAGATAAGAAATACATTGATACTGGCAGTTCAGTTCCGGCTCTAAAACAGTGAATGTTGGGATCAGACACAAAATTATAATCATGGCTTAAGACAAATTTAATATTGCAGTTTTGGGAAATGCTCAGAGCTTCAAATTCATAGCAACCAACACCAGGCAATGAACAGGTCTAAAGCAAGCGCATTCCTCCAGTGGTCTCTCCTCACTTAAATTCTGTAACTCAGTCTAGGGTTCCTAAAGAAAAGATGGAAAAATACCCATACTATAAAAGTTCATCTGTGGAACACGGACACTGTGTCTTCAAGTATTACATCCCTTCCCACTCCCAAAAATGTGCCTCTCTCTTGCCTTTCCAGAAGAGCAAAGAAGTCATGATCACCTGATTCCTTGATGCTGCATGCCACCTGCCATCCAATTATCCCTTTAAGAATCCTAGTGTGTGCCAGGCTGTGTGCAGGTACTCTACACATTCTAACCCTCATAGATCTGTACCAGAGAGATCACCCTTTCTCTTTCTTTATTTCTCTGGAGCAGGCCTAGCTTGGCTAGATCCCCAAATTAGCAGTTCCTGGGATCCAAGTGCATTATTGCTCTCTGTAAATCCATTGCCTTTCTGATTAATTCTGACTGAGAATTTCTGAGAAGTGTCCTTCATCTGATGCTATTCCACGCCAGCTCTCCACTCCGCTGGATCAAAGGAGCTTGCCATCTGTAGGTCATGCTCTGCAAGACAGAGCCGACGCCTCTTGAAACTCTTCATCCTCTCTGAGCTTTTCAAAGCACCCTCTAGCCCTAGATTTCCATCTTTCTCTCAATTTTGTTTTAATTTGAAGTCTTAAATTCCCTAGTTGGGTGTGCCTCCTAGGTTTGAACTTCTCTTTGAACACTGGCAAAATCCTCTCCAGAGGGATTTTTTTCCCCTCTGCTGAATGCTCCAAATCTCATCCCTGCTATCACAGTTAACTAGATTCCTTGTGCTCAAGAGACGAAATATTTGACATCTCTCCTTCACTTGCAAAACCAAAGCAAAGGAGAGGTCTGTCCCTTCTCTATTCATTACCAGCTCACTCCAGTCATGGTCCTCCTCAAAGACAAGGCTTGACCAGCTGGGTCCCATGCTCTCTGTCTTTTCTCGTTTGCAGATCCATCTTTGCTCCCTTTACTCGGCACAGCTGTTCTCTGTTGCTTACTACGCCTGTCTGACATCTCTAAGTTTAAAGGCATCCTTCCTGGCTTCCAGCACCCATGTTAAGAGTGTAGTTCTTGGATTGTGCTGCCTGCATTTAAATACTTGTAAAGTTCTCATTTGACCATAGGTCTTGACTTAAGAAGAGTAAATGCATTTAGACCAGTTTCTTGCATAGCAGATGTCAACTGCTATCAGCTTGAAGGACAACACACAAAGACAGATTGCTGTCTGCCCTTCCGTTCATGTCTAAACATCCTTCAGACAATACCTTGATGACAGATGCCTCTGACAAGTTCTTTTTTTTCTTTCCTTCACTTTCTGCTTTATTCCCTAGCCCCCTTGATTATGGAAGGGGGTCTGTATTTTATAAATCTCTCTCTCCATGCATTGTACTAGTCCTGGTTTTTTATTTATTTATTTTTTGTCTGTTTCTTTGGTCCTTTCCCAGTGGCCAGTGCTGATCTGTATACTGGCTCATGTGTCTAGAAAACACCAATTAGCAGCACAGTATAAAGAATATAGATTTTGGAGTGGACAGGGGCAGGGGCAGAAGCTTAGTTCTTGAGCTTGCAAGTTATATTATCAATTTCTCTAAAAACCCTTAGGGGAAAAAAAGGATGGAATAAAATTTTTTGAGATTTTAAATTTATGATAACGGAATTTTTAAAAAAATAAAATGGATATTGGATATTCTAGGGCTGTAGAATTACTCATTTTATTTTTACTGTTACTGAATTGCATATACAACAACATTTAGCCTATAGCTAGGCATACATGTACATTATTCAACCACACACAAAGCAGTCTATAACTTTTCCAAAATAGCACAGAGTTCATAAGGACAGGGTATGATATTTGTGAACACTGTGAGGGAGGAGAGAGGAGAAGAGGTACATCTGAAGTCAGCGAAATGTCTGAGATAAGAAACCTAACCGGGAGCGTGACAAGCAATGACCAGGAATGCAGGGCTATGGGTTCTCCCTTACTAGAAAATGGAGAGAAGGGGGGAAGTAGAGATGCGGGGGCGGGGGGGAGCAGGGAAAGGAACAGAAAGGTAAGCTCCCATGTCAAGCTTACTTGAACCATCATCCTGTTTCAGACAGGTCCTGGCTAGTAGAGTGTGCCTCAGATTATGCTACTCATTGTGGTGTGTTGTTTGTTTTGTTTTGTTTTACTTAAAAAAAAAAAAGTATTGCAACTATCTGAATTCTGATGTTCCCGTCAGTTTAACAGCACAGATTAGCAAACGAACCTTCCTTGGTATACTGAGCTAAACAGCAATATTCTGCAATGCGGAACTGAGTTCTCAGGGCAATCTCTTACTTTGTGGGTTAGTCACTGGTGAGAAAAGATAGACTGGCTAAAGACAAAGGAGCAGTGTATTAAGAACTTTCAGCAAGATTTTTCCAAGATTCTCTTGTATAAAATAAATTCTTTAAATGCCCTATATTTCTTCCCCCGGACTTCAGTCTAGTTTCTCTGTTATGGGGGTTTCTGAAAATTAGCTTTCGTGAATTAAAATAACAAATATATATCAATAAGATCTGCAAATATTTTTGGCATTCTCAAGAAAGCCTTTGTGTTTTTACAGCACACTCTCTTTAAGCAGGACGATTTGTCATTCTTTGAAATGCTAAGACATTAAAAAGAAAAGACCCTGACTCTGTGTGTGGCCGCACTACTTTGCTTAATGCACTAAATGCAAAGATTTTTAGGGACAAAAAGAAAAATCAAGAAGTTTCTGCTTCATTGGTAATCTGACAGTAACTATTTATTGAAGGTAAAACGCTTGTTGCCCGCTGTCACTGTTTGTTTTAATACATAATCTTGCTAACTAAATGAGCTCAAAGCAATGCAGATAAGCAATGGCATGCACAGGGTCACTTAAATGCCAATTTCACTGTTTCATCAGCTGGGGAATTCTTTACCCGTGAATCTACTCTCAACTCCTAAATGGTGAGTAATGTCCATTTACAAAGTTCAAGCCAGCAGTTAAGGAAAATCAAACAGGTCGTCTTCCATGTCCAGGCCTTCCCAGTTTCCTAAGCAACAACAAGAGCCAATAATTAAAGTTTCTTTAAACCTCCGTAAAGAGTTAGATGAAGGATAATCTAGAATAAAGCAGCCCATAAAACGCCAGTGGTGAAATGAAGAGAAAACCAGTTTCAACAAGGATGAGTGGCAACAGCTAAACTGTGATCTGAAGTGCACTCACCTGCCACTAGTCAAACTCACGCTGCATTCGTGTGTGGTAAGAAACCCCATTAAATGGGGTTGTTGTAGACTTTTGTCTCGTTTTGCTTTGTTTGGACAATTTTTCCTCATTGGTCTTTTGATTGTTGGTTTCTGTTTTTTGTGGGGTGATGTGTGTGTGTGTGTGTGTTTCTTGTCTTTGTTTTGGGATTTGTTCATCTCTTCATTTGTTTTTTAGAGAGAGAGAAAGAATATAAAATTGTGTGGGTAGAGAGGGAGAGAAGGATCTGGGAACAAACTGAGGGACAGAAAAACATATACTGTATTTTTAAAATATACTGTATGATAATAAATTCTCAATAATAATAAAAGAAACTTCATTAAAGATACAGCGGGGACAGTGGAGAGGGCATGAATGGACACTCGAGAGAAACTGAAATTACTAAATTGACGAGCCTATGACCATGTTGAGTGAGGTCTTTCTTTTATCATGATAAAATTAAACAAAGTATAGCAGTTAGTTAATCAAACCATGACTAAATCCACGATCTCTATCATGCTTGATCCCAGGTTAGAGAACTACTCCTCAGAACCAGAAACAGGGAGTGTGGAGGATACACGTGCACCCCGACTAGGAAGGCTGCCACCAGTTCTTCCGATGAGAAGTTTCCACCTGGATCTCTACACCACATGAGGAGACATTAAGTTTTTCCTCCTAACAATACATTTTCACATATCAAGGCACTTATCTCTGGATAAGTAGGAGGTGTAGGGGGGTGGAGACAGCTCAGCAGCTAAGGGCACTTGGATCCCCAGAACCCTCGCCGTGCTATCTTTAACTCTAGTTCCAAGAGATCCAATGCCCTCTTCTGGCCCATACACCGGGAATGCATTTGTCGCTCATACATGTATGCAAGCAAACACTCATACATGTAAAATAATAATAAATATTTAAAAAGAAAACAGAAAATATATAAACTTAAGGAAGTTACTTTTTAATTAGTTTTTTATCCTCCTGAGATTTTACAGTCTTTCTTGGTTTCAATGACTTAACAACTGGTTTACTTTTTTGTGATCGCTTGACTTCTCTTCCTCTGATTTGCAATAATTCTGAAGATCTCACCTTTAAAAACACAGAAGGCATGCCATTAAGGAAAACTGGAATATGAAGAGTTAGAGCTTTCTCTCATATTTAATGCTATGTCTCATATATAAACTCCTGATTTCCATGTGTATATCAGAATATAAATACTAAAGATAAGTTACTATTCCTAAAGCCATTCCTAAGTTTATGGACATACATTATCAAAAATAAAAATGTTAGCATCATATTTTCTTGTAATCTTTTTCATTTCTGACCTTATATTATTAAAGAAAAACACTAGATGAACCCAGGGTCTCAGGCATGCTAAGCAAACACTCTATCACTCAGCTGTGTCCCAGCCCCGTCTACTCTTCGTTTTTTCTTCATGTATGGTATGTGTGTGCATATGTATGTGCTCGCGTGTGTTTGTGTGCATGTGGAGGTCCACAACTGGTGCTGAGAGCATCCCCCATCTCTCTCTCTCTCTCTCCACCTTATTCACTGGGAGGACAGTTCTGTTGAACTCACAGCTCACCATTTCAGTTAGTCTTGCTAGCCGGCTTGCTCCAGGGATTCCTGTCTCCACCATCTGAAGCTGGCATTAAAAGCAGGTGACAGCACCCTCCTGGCATTCGTGTGAGTTATGGGGATTGCATCCTGACTGTCTCCCTTCCTATCCTTCTTGCCTGATGTTTTCCCTCTCCATTAATCACCTTGTTCTCAGAATATATGGTGGTAATAATTCACACACAGGGTTTTCTCCTTGGATTGATTGCTGTGTGGTTTTGTTTTGTTTTGAGCTGAAGGAAGAAGTGGGGAGGTTTTCCCTGCAAAGGCAAAGGTATAGCTGGAAAAGTAGGAACTGGCTAGATAAAGGGAGGTCACATGTTACATGTTATCTGCAGGCTTTGGGCTTTCTTCTTAGGTAAGGAGTTAGCAAATTACAAAGGGAGAACATTTCATTTTTTTCCTGCAGTTCATACCTGAACTCTGCCTACAGCATCTCTACCTATCTTGGTCATCTACATGAACAAGGTCAGGAGCAGTGAACATAGATCCATACAGAGTCAGCCATTTTCTTTTCCAAACACTTCCATTTACTGACATTTCTGTTTTGTTTCTTTATTCCTGAGTAGAACGACTTTCATCTACCAGTCTAAATCCAAACCCCAGGAACCATAAATACAATCTAGTTCCTTTCCATTTGACAGACAGCTGAATACATGACTATATGTATTGCCTTGGGCCAGTCAGCTTTCTCCCCAGATAAACAACGTTGGCCCATTCAACTGTCCCTTACATGGGATGGATTTGAAGTGGTGGCTTTTCCATTCCTCCTTCAGTCTAATTTGTCAGTGACCCTCCTGTGGTTGGATGCTCAGATATGAACACAATATTTGACATATGATCAGATCAACCAACTGAAAGATGATCTTCCTATGGCACCCATCAGCCAATGTAAACTGCCAATGTATCTGTCTTCCCTATCACAAAATGACATTATAATTTAAAGTTCTGAGGTCATTCACATTTGCTATTAAACCCTCCCATACTTCGGTAGACCCAAAGGCAAAATGTAACATAAATCTTCATGCCTGTTGAGTTTAATCTGACCTCTAAGCACCAAAATTTTAGACATTATCGCTGAACCCAATCAGTAAATCTCCCATTTTCTCGTCCACATTATCCAGGAGTTTGCTAAACTGGACACAACCCTAGATCACACACTAATCATGTACAATATAATGCTTGACTCGGTACAAATCTAGTCAGTATTTCTAACATAATCTCACCAGCAACACTCTCAGGAGGCATTTATATATGGACTGCTGAAATTCAGAGCATAGCAAATAATAATCACTAATCGTACTAAGATGTCTGTGTGCCAGATGTTAAGTGCCTTCTATACCACATTTGTATAGCATCCCTGTCATAGCAAGGTAGTGATGGCAGACATGTTTGAAATTTCCTGCTTCGTGGAAAAGTCTGCCTGATACTATGGGCCTGTCTGTAGGCTAAAGATGGATGCCCCAACAGTACAGAAGAACTTTGAATGACTGTCCAGGCAGCGAGATGTCTCTGTCATTTCTAGAGTTTTAGAAGTTGCTTACAATGCACTTCCTGTCAACATAGGTAATATTGCATCCTCCTGGGGTTCTTGATGGAGTTGAAAAACAAATAGTTATAATTATAGTTTTCCTTAGTTATGATAAAAGATAAAGTAGATATAAATATTGTAATAGTAATTCTTGCTTGATACCTGTTTTGTTATATGTAATTTTACTATGTTAAAGTTAAAACCTTCCCTTTTATTTAGACAGAAAAGGGGGAATAGTGTGGGAAGTCCAGTAGACACATTGCTTTTATTGGTTACTGAATAAAGAAGCTACTTTGGCCTGTGATAAGGCAGAATAGAGCTAAGCAGGAAAACTAAACTGAATGCTGGGAGAAAGTAGGCAGAGTCAGTGAGATGCCATGTAGCTGCCTCAGGAGACAGACACTGGAACTTTGCCTGGCAAGCCACGGCCATGTGGTAATACACAGATTAATAGAAATGGGTTAATTTAAGATATAAGAGCTATCTAGAAAGATGCTTAAGCTATTGGCCAAACAGTACTGCAAATAATAAAGTATCTGTGTGGGTTTTTTTTGGGGGGGTCTGGGCAGCAGGGAATGAATGAGCAGCCTCTGTCAACAAGGTGGCACTGCCATTATCCATCAACACAGGCAGTTTGGTAATTAGGCCCAGAACATATGACTAGAAAAATCTGGGCACAGAGCCTTGTGGCCTATCCATGGAGCTCACAGTAGGTAACATACCTAGCTTTTTTTTTCTTCTGATACTCCATCTAATAAAATTCTAAGAGAAGAGAGAAGGTTGGTCTTCCATGTTCATCCCTACAGAACCCATGTTCAAAGAATTATCTCTTCCTATTAAAAGGGTTGAGGCACAACATTTTTAATAAGCTATTTAACCATTCTTAAGTGTCCTACAAGACCGGAGGAGCACAGAGATTGCAGAAATCAAGATCTTTGCCCTCAGAGCCTAGAGTTTTGCAGTTGCCCATCTTGCCTTCTGAATCCCAAAGCAGGCTCTGGGTCTCTGTCATTTAACAGTGACCAGCAGCACTCTGCCATTCAACGCCACCGCAGGTGGAAAGCACCAACCTGAGCCAACCTGCTCAAACCAGAATTAACGCTCAAAATCTCTCACAAATCTCAGGGTTCAGGGTTTAGAAAAAAAAATCTTCTTTCTAAACTAAAGACCACTTGTCAGATTTTAAGAGAAGCAGGGGTTCATCGGCTTCCCTTTCTCTGTCATACGTCTGTTTATTTAAAAACCTCAATCTTTTTTTTCCCAAAACTAAACTTAGGAAGCTCTGTCGTATGCTGTCATTACTTTATTTATCCATGATGACAGGGTTGTCTTTCTCCCCCTACCTCTACCTCTGCACCAAAATAACATAAAAATCACCTTTTTTGTTTTTAATCCTTAGAGGTCTCAACGCCTGAATCTCAGCCCTTCTGAGGTAACTTTCAACAGCCACAGGCCACTTTCCTAGTTATTTGTGATATGCATTTTGTCTTTCATGTGTTTTCAGAATGCTGGAGAATCAGTCATAATTGTGGATTTGGGTTTAGAGACTCTCACGGCTCTTAAACTTTCTTCCATTTGCGATCTTGGGACACATCATTTTATAGGCTGTTAATTGCTCTTCTAGAAAGCTACCCATTCCTGTTACTGTTGTATCTGGCATTTCTTCACCAAGTTGCAATCACATCTATGCACTTTTCTCTGCTGTTGATAATGACTTACCTCAGAAAACTAATAGGCCCTACTCTTGCAAAGAGCTTCTAGGAGGAGAATGGCCAATAGGCAGGGATCCTGCAGACTCTGTTTGTTGCTGGAGATCTCCCAGCATGGGTCTGAGCAACCAAACTGACTTCCTCTGACTTCCTCTTTCATCTAGATGTATCTATTAGCTACAAAAAAAAGTCACCTGGTCTCCCAGTCTGTCTTGGTTTCCTGCACCATTGACATTACAAATAAAGTGTTTGGCCGATATGGAGAGTTAAAGTTCATGGATAGTAACTGACATTGAGATGATACAAATAAACAAACAAACAACCATAAACAACCAGAAAGTTCTGGAAAACACTTGCCCAACAGGGAAGCCCTCACCCCCCCACCCCCCCCACCCCCCGGCAGAGTTACAAGGCAAATGCTTAAGCATTACCAAGCTCACCCAGGCTTAGTCCTGGGACTACACTTCCTGACTCCCATCAGATGCTACGTAGAAAACGGTGGCCAGTGTCTGAAGAGCCCAGATGCCCTCTTACCTTGAAAATCTGTCCTTCCTTCCAAGAGGCACAACCTCAATCTTTGTCTGGGTACTTCTTCACAGCTGCACATCCCCATTTTGCACAATTCTACATGTTCCCAACACTGACAGTAGTGTTTTGCTATGCTTACTTGTATAGTTGACCGCCTGCCTGATTTCACATCAAATGAAGAACGACCCACTTCCAAGGGCTTATCCTCCAGTGGCATGATTTCTAATGCTTCCTGGGACTTAAACGCTAAGTTCTCTTCTCCTATGGCTCCCCAATCCAAAAGATCCTCCTGTTCAATCTGGAAGATGCTGGACACGGCCTCAGGAAGATCCTCATAAATATTTTGCTGGAGGAAAACACAAAGACGGAAAGTTCATCTTTCTGGTCCTTCCAGGGTCTGCAGTTCTTCACTCCATTCATCTATGCAGCAACAGTATGAATACCATAATTATTATAAAACAATTTTTATACAGTGATTGACTGGTGCTATTAAAGAAATATTAACAACATGATGGTACTGAGACCAAGTCCTGAATTTGAAGCACAATTAATAAAAAGTCAATTAGAGAAATTGGGGTTCTACCTGAAGATCCAAAAAGCAAAGCAGTCAGCCACTGGCTCTTATCTTAACCTCAGTCCAAAAATGGCGATCCTGCCTCCAGGAATCTCAGAGTAAAACTGTGACTGAGAGCTGTCTCCTCCCATTTTATAATCCTCTCTAGTTCTGAGATTAAAGAAAGGCATGCGCCACTGGGATTAAAGGCATGCACCGCCCGGTTTCTATGGCAACTAGTGTGGCTACTGGGATTAAAGATGTGTGGCACCACTGTCTGGTCTCGAAGCCTGACTAGTGGGGCTGTTTACTCTCTAATATTTGGCATTGTATCACTATTTTTAATTAGCAAATGAATAATGGAAAAGAAATTGTTTCAGTTTTCATTCACCACATACTTAACCTTTACAAGAATACTTAAAGTAGCAAACTGCTGTTTTATTGGCCTAGGTACTGAAGGAATCACTCCGGACAAGAACTGTTCTTCCTTTGCCCCTTCTACCAACCTTGTTTAAGCAGTTCAGGAGTAGACTAAGTCAATCATCTATTGATGATTTCTATTGATGATGGTATTACCTTGTAATCGGTACCCAGATCCAAATAATCACACAAAAACTATATTAATTACAATACTCTTTGGCCAATGGCTTAGGCATATTACTAGCTAGCTGTTACATGTTAAAATAACCCATTTCTATTCATCTCTGTATTGCCACGAGGCTGTGACGTACTGGCAAGGTTCCAGCATCTTTCTTCTTTAGCAGCTACATGGCATCTCCCTGACTCTACCTTCTTTCTCCCTGCATTCAGTTTAGTTTTCCTGCCTACCTATATTCTGTCCTGCTATAGCCACAGTAGCTTCTTTATTAACCAATTGTAATAAAACATATTCACAGTATAGAGAGGGGAATCCCACAACATTTCCTTGAGGCAGCTACCCTAGATACATGTTAAGCCCACAGCCGCCTATCATCAGGTGTCAGTTGGTCTATCCACATACCACTGGCAAGTGGCTACTAGTGCCACCACACACATGGGCCTCAGGCAGGCCATTTGCATACAAAGGGGACAAAAGACCCAGTCCAACCAAAAGCATCTGTAAGTGTAGCAGGTCTACCACTTGTGGTACCCTTGTTGCTTACAGGCCTCAGGGCTTCATGTAAAGAGAAGGTTCTATATGTTTTCTGAATGCTATCCTAAAATGATATATGTTCTCATCATATATACACATATATGGGGTCATATTTTCAAATCTCTCATGTAAAGCAACCAACCGATCATCATGTCTTCAGAATCAAACAGCTTTCTGCAAACACTCAGTCCATAGGAGACACACTACTACTTTAACACAAAGAAAGAGGATATTTAGTGAAGATTTTACCGTGACTGGTCGTTCCTTCAAATTTTCCTGTGACTCTCTCTCCTCTTTTATCTCAGGTGTTTGTGACTGAGGTTGTCTGAGGTACTTTTGTTCCATCAAAGAAATACCCTTAAGAGAAAAATTAAGTAATGTCAACTTATAAAAAAAAATCACTGAAATGCATTATTTAATATTGTAAAGGCAATTAAAACAGTAAATTAGAAATCTAGGAGAAATATAAAGTACTCAATAACATTCAGTTGTTGAAATATGAGCGGCGGGGCTGCGTCCCCAACACCCCGGCCGCTTGACTAGCTCATGCCCGAAATAACAACACACAAACTGTATTCATTTAAGAACTGCTTGGCCCATGAACTCTAGCCCTTACAGGCTAATTCTCACACCTGGACTAGCCCATTTCTAATGATGTGTGTAAGCACCCCAAGGTGTGCTTACCGGGAAGATTCTAGCCTATGTCCATTCTGGGTAAAGTTTCAATTTAGAAAAACATCGCCAATTAAAAATATCAAATATCACAAATAAGATATTGTATAAATATATTTACTTGGCATATCCAGAATAGGTAAATTCATAGAGACAGAAAGCCAATAAGGGGCAGCTAAAAGGTTGGAGAATGAGCAAAGATCGGAAAATGGAGAATGACCAAATGATGCAAAGTGTCTTTTAAGACAATGAAAGTTTGAAAACTATATAAATGTGACAGTTGTTCAACAGTTCACTTCTAGATTTTTTTTGTTTTCACTAATACAGCAACAGTCACTATAATAATACATTGTTCATTGATAAAAATGAGTGTATTTTTGTTTTTAAACTAATAAACCCTGATCAACTCACACTCAATATTTTAAACACATATATTATAAAAAGCAATAATTTTGCTAGTCATGGTTAGCACAAGCCTTAATCTCAGCACTTGGTAGGCAGAGACAGACAAAACACTCTGTCTTCTAGAACAGCCTCATCTACTTGGACTACATAGTAAGACCAGACAAGACTACATAGTGAGACCCTGTATCAAAAAAAAATTAAATCAACAACTTATTGATCACAATAATTTTGTTGACAATCGATAGAAATTTTAGTTACAAACACACAAATGTAAGGTAATGGGTGAGTTTCACACATTGAAAGAAGCAGAGCCATAAAAGACAGTGCCCGCCTATAATCCCAAATACTGGAGAGTCTGAGGCACAAAGATAGAAAGGCTTCTCTGGACTACAGAGTGAGCTCAAAAACAGTATGTGTAATTTATTAAGACTCTCTCTTTCCCAAAATCAAAAGGTGGAAAAGGGAATGGAGACAGAGGTCAGTGTTCCAAGCACTTTCCCAACAAACACAAGATTTCCATGGCCCTATGGTCAATCTCCAGAACAAATCTTTGTCTGCCAATAAATAAATAAATAAATAAATAAATAAATAAATAAATAAATGAGTGAGAATAAACATACAAAAGCATTAGTTTCTAAGCCATAGCATACTCATAAAGCTAGTCCCCAAGGTAGTGTTGAAGCAGGAACATCGTGAATTTGAGGCCAGTCTAGTAAGTTTAAAAGCCAGGCTGGATTACACAGGGAGATCCTATCTTTGAAAATAATCATGAAGGTATAAGTCAAATAAATTATCATAGTCTAAGTGAAATCAAACAGGGAAGATAGTATGGTAAAGCAACTGTTGAGTACATGAGCTCTGCTTTGGGTGTTAAATCTTTACTCCGTTCAAGTTAGGGAATCTCAAGCAATTACTGAATCTGTCCCAATGCCAGTTTTATAACATAAGGATAATAATAATCCATGCCTCGTGCTTATGATGAGGCTGAGACAACAAATGACAACAGAACATGCCTGAGAGCTAACAGAAACTAATATTTACACTAAAGATCAAAGTAAGGATGCTTACTATTACTATCGACATTTGGTTTTGTATTTGGAATTCCAAATGCGAAAAAATGCAATTATGTAATTATAAGAAATGGATTAATCAGAAATCAGAGGCTATGACTATCGAAAGAGAAATCATGAAGAAGTACACCCAGCATTCCATGTAATAATATAAAGTGCGTGTGAATTTTATATTATCTCTGAGTCATAAACTGTATCTAACCAGGGGAATTTTCTGCATCTACAGAAAGATGTGGAAATCCTCTGAACACACTTTAAAATTCTGTAAATATCTGAAAACATAGGAGGCTGAGAGCAGTCCAGCTTCACGATGCTCAATACATTTATCATCCGTTTGAAAAACGCTTCCTTCAGTGTCTAACGTGGTCTACTAAAGTGTCAGAGCTAGAAGGCATGGGGAAAATCAGTACCATCTGAAGAGAGCCCAAATGCCACAGGCAATGAAACCCAAGCACTGAGCCCAAAGAATGTCAAGTCTTCAAAGCAAACCAAGCAAGCACAGGGCCTTCCAGGCAATTGGATGGGCCAGTAACACAAGCAGCAGCTATCTTCTGGCCTGGGCAGCTGGCTGGGTGCTTTTTCAGTTGTCAGAGAAGGGGTGAGGAGTAAACCCCGTGGGCACACTTCCTGCCATGAAATCCAACGTCATCCTAAATGACAGTGTCCTCGATGATGTGAGTCAAGAGCCTGATGCTAACACATGCCTTCCTATGAAGTCATCAGTATACCCTCAGAGTAAACTACCTTCAAGTGAAAGACCACAAAGTTCAGATTTCAAGAAAGGAGGAAAAGGCAGTCCGTGACCCTGAATAGGTACTTGTCCACACCTGTTTGAAAATACCCTGCTTTGCGTTACAATCCCTTGCTCCCTGCAGGTACAAACCTGAAGGCGGGCGCTGGCTGGCAGGGCTCTACCTGCAGGCACAGGAATGTGTCAGGGTCACTTTGCATCCAGTCTTCCCACGTCTTACTTTTGTCCCAGTTAAGTATTTTATATCGTTATCATGTATGATTTGACCCTAAATTCAATAGAACTGTCAGTACTGAAAAAAAAAAATACGTGATTTCAAATAAAACAGAAACTGAGTGGCTGTTATATAAATGTAAATTATCAGAACTGCTAGAGGAATCATTTATAATTGTGCAAGGCATCTGCTCCACAAAGTCCTCAAGCCTTTTCAAAGGATTCAATAATTCTAGAAACACAATATGACTGACTATATTTCAAGTAAGATGGAATATCTCTTCAGTAAATGTCCTTTACTACAGAATTATAGATACACTGTGTTAAAACTATTGAGTTTTTTTTTTTTTTCATGAAATAGGTTGCTCAAGACAGAAAAATCTGACACAGAGGTGTCTTAAGCAACTTGACACAGCCTAGCATCACCTGAGCAATCCCAGCTGAGAAATTCCCTAGGTCCTGTAAGCATGTCTGTGGGAACTGTCTTGACTGTTCATTGATATGGGAAGGTCCAGCAAACTATGGGTGCCACCATTCCCTAGGCAGTCAGTTCTAGCCTGCTTTAAAAAGCTTACCAGCTAGGCTGCCAGCTAGCCAACAAACAGCCATGATTTCACCTCCAAGTTCCTGCTTGAGTTCTTGAACTGACTTCTCCCAGTGATGGACTATATTCTGTAAGCTGACATAAAACCTTGTCAGGCCTACATTGCTATTGGTTATGTTACCTGTCAACAAAACTAGTACAAGAAATAAACAGAAAAATATTTCAAGAATATGACAGAGCCTAAGGCTAAGCAAGCTCCCATCTTCACTCTCTGTCCTTCCCACTAGAAAAGACAGCCCACCAGGGTTTTCTCTTTCAGGACCATTTAAATAAATGTGACTCAAAAATAAAAGAAATAATAATAATAATAATTAATGAAAATGGCAAAGTCAGAACTTCCTGGAAATTAAAATTACATAAATACATACTATTTCAATTTACAAATACTACTTATAGGAAATCAAATTACTTTAACATTGATCTTGCAGGGGCAAAGAATCCTATAGAAGCAATACTAGTGAAAAAAAGAAACTGCTTCAAAACAAAAGGAAGAAAGAAATTTGAGTAAATGTGTCTTCTAGGCTACAGCATCTGTTATGTTGAAATGACATTCCTTTTGAATTAAGTAGCGAGTATTCAGGGAGTGACGTCCAGGTTAGCTATGTGAGCAGCAAGGCTAACAGCACTTTAGTTAGGAATGCTGAGAAGTGCAGGAGCAGAAGCTAAGATTCCTTCCCCCTGAGAAGAGGCAGTCAAGCTAGAGATGAAAAAAAAATCAACAAGAAATGTTTCTCAGACTGCAAAACAAGTATATTTAATCAAGCGTAAATATTATGCAAGGCTCCAGGTTCAATCCCCATATAAATTCAATTTATATACAAAGATGAAGATAAGACTATACAAAACAGAAAATGTAGCTGTTTCTAGTGTGCCAGTAAAAAATTAATTTGAGGCAAGAGTTGGGTCCTTGGAGTGGGAGAGAAGGCAGAGAAAAATGAAGCATGGTTCTTATTTCCTATCTTAATATAGGACCATGTGGAAATAATTGTGTGTCTATCATTTCTGAAAACTCATATACCTCTTATTTATTTAGTCAACAGTACTCTATAAAAGAGAAGTTTCCCCAGCTGGAGATACGGCTTAGGGCAGAGGAACTGCCTGTGATGTGTGAGGCCTTCAGTTTTATCTCCATCCCAGCACTGCCAAGACTGTCTCAAAATGTATAGGTGATCTTATGGGTCAAGGCCCTCGTTATTGTCCCCAGTAGCACAAAACAGCAACAGCAGCAATGTCATGAAAGACTTCAAGATCTATAGATGACTCTGTAGGACAAAGGGCAGGTGAAATATGCCCAGTGAGTAGCACTAACACACGTGCTTTTTGTTTTATCTAGAAATTCTGGCACCAACCATTTCCCTTTCTGATTTCCTCAGTTGGTACCCTGAAAACTCTAGTTTCCTTGTGCACCCCTCTCTCCCTCCACCTTGCCAACCATGGTCTCTCTAACACCCTTTAGTCTTTTCCAGAATGTGGTAGTGTAAGTTATTCAGTAAATTGCCTTTTTAATGTTTCTTTCTTCCCACTTATTAATATATATTCATTATTTCCACACAGTAACTTTTGAGATAGTAGAGAGCTCAAATTCAACATCGAGAGAGGAAAGATTAAGCATGTTTGTATTTTTCTAAAATAATAGTAAATC